TTTCAGAAGGGAGGTAACAGAAGTCTGCCTGATGTATATTTACACACTTTATGGCCTGAATGGCTTTCTGTACGTGAGCTGTGTGGTATCATGGGGCTGCTGTCTCCCCTGGGCTCTGCAGAGCACCGCTGCAGCACAAATCAGCAGTTAAATGAATGCACACCGTGCGTCAGGATCTGAACTATTGCATTCGGTCAGTTATTGGAAGGGTAACCAGACTGCAACAGAAATTTCTTCTTCTCCGAGGGCAGGCAGCCAAAAGACCAGCGTTTACCAAACAATGTGCAGACCGAGCATCCCAAGCATTCCTCATGGGAAGCGTCAGCCTCTGCTCCAGCCCGTGTGTGACGGGGAGCGCGGGGGGCAGGCCAGGGCGGCCCCACGCCACCACCCCGAGCCACGGGGAGCACACTTGGATCGCTGAGCCCAGAACCAGGCCCTTATGTCCCGTAAGGGCACCCAGGGCGTCTGCAGGCAGATGGGTGCTCTGAGCACTGCCCCTCTCCGCATGGTTTTTCAAAAGTTTTTCTGTCATATTTTTTAAATCTTCACTAACCGCTGTGACCCCTCAGCCCTTCTGTCCCCTCATCATTTTTACATACCTGAGGTCAGGTCCTGCGAGCACACACAGCCTGCCCTGGAAGCCCGATCGCAGGACTGAGGCGTTGGGCCCAGCGACGCGCTGAGGGGACGCCCGCAGCGGGGCGATGGCGGCGGCCCTGCCTGCCTCAGCCGGGCCCGAAAGCTCCAGCCCCGACCCCGTGCGAGCCCCGAGGTTAAAACAACCGGGCTGGAGGCGAGGGGCTCTGCAGAAAGGCCTCGGGCTGCGCCCTCGCTGGGTGCGGGGAGCCCCCGCAGCGCGGGGCCGGGCCGGGCCGCCAGGGGGAGCGCGGCGGCCGCCCCGCGGGGCCAGCCCGGGCCGGGGCCCGCAGCCCTCGGAGGGACCGAACCGGCCGGGCCCCGCGGCGGGTGGGGACGGGCACGGATCCACAGGTGTGTGTCTGTGTGTATTTGTATGTATTAGTGTGTGTCTGTGTGTATTTGTGCAGAGGAGTGTGTGCACACACGCGCTAACGCAGCTACCTACAATCTGCCCTTTTTTCCCCCTGAGGGCATTTTATTGTTTTGTTAATTCCCAGGGTATAATCTGTTTTGCATTAAGTGGGATGTTAAGCATCTAATTGTCAAGTGCTGATAAGCCATGGGAAATTTTATGACAAGATAGGCATCAGCTGAATGGAGATAAAACACGTCAGATGGCAAGGTGAGATTTCCAGGTGAGATCAGGCTGCCTACTTGCGAATACCAGAACCGAAGGCATGCCAGGCTGATCTGCAGAAATGCTACAGGTGGAAATGGACAAATTGAGGAGTTACAGATCAAAATCTGCTACCACCAACTGCTCCGCATTCCCAGCTGTGCGTGGCATTGATGGTGCACCTGGACTGATGGCATCTGTGGGGAAAGGCCACAAGCTTCAGCATTTGATGTAAAACCTGTCATTTACACCTACAAGTACCACAGCACCTATAAATACTGTCAAGCACCCATAAGTATCACAGCATAGACTCTAAACATGTTTTTCTGCCCTCTTTTATCTCTTTAAATCAGGCAGAATTTGCAGCATGGCCCCAGCCTGATGGCTGCAGTCTCAGAGCCAGTACCGGGCCGTCCAGCCCTGCTGTGTGTAGTTCATGCCCTTGTAGATGAACATCAGACACGTTTGCATTTCAAACTGAGCTTATTGTCAGCCCAAGTAATTGCTTGATTATATGAACAGCAGCGTTACCTTGTGCTTCTTCCTGTATGTGTCACACCATTTCTTAATGTAGGCAGTGCAGTCTCTGAGTAGAGACCCTTATTCCATCTGCTGCAGGGCCCCCGAGGCTGCATGACTCTCAGTGTGCACCATACATCTAGTATCAACATCCTATATGAGGGTGTTACAGGCTATCCTGTTTCCCGGTCCATTGGTTTTTCGATTAAAAGTCATCACTTGTCAGTAAACTGTTGTCTGGAGCAGCACAAACAGAAGGGGAGGAAAATGTGTCCACTCTGCGCCGGCTCTTCAATAACAGCTCCTCCATCAGGCTCAGCATTGCGTCAGCCGGGTCCTGCTTATCTCTGTGACCTCCTGATACATGCTGCTCTCTGTCATGATTTTGGAATGGCAGAAGTAGATGCAGAGATTGGTTTTTGTGATGCTAACAGACTTTGAGCCTTCTAACCTCAAGTACTATTTGTTTTGCTTGGCACTTCCTCTACAAGCGAACAAGAACGGGGCTGGCTCTCCGGAGCAGAGCTGTGGTTAGCTGCTTCCGACCAGAGCCTGGAAGTGACAGCACGCCTGCCTCTAGCCTGTCCCGCAGATCTCTGATGGTCCTGGCTGGGGAAGCTGCACAGGTAAAGGAACTTACACATGCTCTGAACTTCGTGAGCATACTGGGAGCTAGAGAAGAGGAGAAAAACACTCCTCTGGCAGAGGCCTCTGGCACTGGAAGAGTCAGGGTCTTTAATTCCTTAAACCAAACTTTAGACATCACCCTGCACTGTTGCTCACCCTGTGCTATCACGTAACCCTAGCCAAAATGATGCTGATTTCTGACTGTTTCATACCCCTCTGCACAGCTGGGAATGGTCACAGCAGGTACCACCCAGGGGCATTTCAGGCCCCAGGTTATTTCATCTGCATTAGCATTTATTTCTCTCAAGCAGCAGCACCTGCTGCTGATGGACTCAAAAACAGCCCTCATGGGGCACCCAGCTGCTCCAAAACAAGCACCCAGCACCTCCTGTCCATACATTAAATCACGCCAGCACAGAGGAGGCGTTCACGCCCCAGCTTAGTGTGTTCCTGGGCTGCTGAAACTGAGGTTTTCTGGGCAGGTCCCATCCTCAAGAAGTTTTGCATTAAATGAGTGTCCATTTAGTGAATGCTAAAATCATCTTTTCCTCCTCTCTGGACTGCCCTGGCAATTTTCTCCTACTCTCCAGAGACTGGTTGGAATTTCTGTCCTATTTACAATTCTCTTCTTTTTATTTTTTCTAAAAGATGGCTATTTTCAGGTCCCTGAAATTCCCTGGTTATTCAGTGTTGAAAAGCAACTGCCAATAAGCTCGCTTTTAGTTCTGAATAAGCAGCTTTTTTTCTTTTACTTTCATGTGTGTGTTTTTTTTTCCCATTTCTGCTACAGAAAGTGGGAGAGGAAGTCAAGGAAGCATTTTTTAAATGCTTCCATGTATTTTAGGGACAAAAGCAATTGTCACTTCAGAAGGTATTTTTATGAAACGTTCACTGCATCGCTTCTCAGGTGACTCTATTATGCACAGTGCTGCTGCAGACAAGGTAACAACAAAAAACGAATTACACTGTATGTAAAACTAAGCTCATATTCCCAGCTGCACCAGAGCTGCCTTCAGTTGGGGCGTGTGACAGCCCTGCCTGCAACTGGCCGCTGGTGACTCAGCAGCTGCTGGTGACTCAGCACCCCCAGCACCGGGGGGAAGCGCCTCCAGCAGTTCTGACAAGAGCTGAATCAGGCCCTAATTGCATTTTAGCCTTGTAAGTGAAACACTCTTCTGACAGCTGCATTTTGCAGCTCCAAGTCAGTTTTTGTATCTGCTCTAAACTAGCTTCACCTGTCTTTTTGTCAAAGACAATATTTCCCCACTGGCTTCTTGACCCAAAATGGATTGAATTTCAGCACTGGAATTATTTCAGCTCAGATCTTGTGTGTGTTGCTTGCAATTACTATAGGGATCTGAGAGACTTTTGACATGAAATCCTTTGGCTCCAAATCAGCATTTACAAACACAACTTTTTTTTCTTTTTCTCTCTTCTCTTTTTCTCTTGTCTTTTTTTTCTTTTTTTTTTTTTTTTTTTTTCCTTTTTTCTTTGCCTCAAGGTGTAATGTACATTCTTTGGGTCAAAAAAAGCTATCTACTGCTATTAAGACTTCTAGTACATTGTTATTATATCATTTAACATGAGATCAGGCGCTGCCACAGCGAGTTTAACATGACATGTTTACTGATTTGAACCTGTCCCTGCGCTGGCTGATGGATCACCTCGTGTGCTGTTCCCTCGCTACAATTCCCAATTCTCCCCATTTACGTGCAAACCAAACCTTGCTATCCTAGGTGGTTTTTTTTTGCTGTCAAATAAAATATCTTAGAAATACCTAAGTGCCTGCCAAGCTGTAGCTATTGTAAAGCGCTGTTGCTCCATTAACTAAAGTGTTAGAAAGACTTAATCAATTCAGCTGACAAGGCAATCTCTTGCTGGCCTTCCTTTCACAGTAAGCCCTCTCCTAGCCCTATCCCAGTGTGGTGGAGGTGTACGCTGCCTCTCAGACCTTTGCCAGCTTTCTCTAGGATTAAATTCCTAGTGGTAAAGGAAGCTTGCTAAAAAATGTGAGGGGGAGGGAAGAAAAATTTTCAGTTGCTTTGTAACTAATGTTGCTCTGCTTTGTTGCCCCTGACATTTCTGGCCGCCTGGCTGCAGCCCAGCTCTGTCTCTTCCCCACGTCCCACCTGCAGGAAGCCCACGAGGAATGGCTCGACACCCCTGAGCCAGCTGTGCCCACAGCTCGAGGGCAAAGTCCTGTTGCAGCACGGGCACCTGAAAGCCACACGTGATATCTGGAGGAGACGTCCTCCTGAGTTACTGACCACCTTTTGCCCTGAATGGAGGTCACCACACACTTGGCATCGGTTTTTGCACTGCCAGGGCTGCCCTTGGTGCAGACGCCAGCTTGGCCGTGCCATTCCGATGCCAGCCACTCGGCACGTATGTGGGAAAAGCACAGCACACCCACACTCAGAGTCACAGGCTCCGGTCCCAGCTGAGTCAACTCAGCCCCTTATTTTCGCAGAGAAGATATGAGGAATCTGATTGAGCTTATCACGTGTGTACGGGGCAGGGAGTGGCTCCTTGGCTTCAAAGAGCAGATAAGGCCATCAAAGTGATTGCCATCTTTAAACACTGCCTACTTACTCACCAGACCTGAGCTCGGTGGATTCAGACTCCAAGCCTCTCACTCCAGTAACCCAGCGGATGAGTTTGATGCTCCTCTCAGCTCGCAGTGTCAGCGCTGCCCTGGGGAGAAGAGAGTCATTCCTACTTTCTGCTTATTCATCAGCAACACCTTGGTTAGAAGCTTTGCCCTGGGACACAAAACAGCCTCGTACAGATTGCCAGGGGACCCTGAGCCCCTGGGATGGCTGAGGGTGTCAGGCTGCCAGCCTGGGAGCAGGATCTGCTCCCCCTTCTGCTCCCTGGGGACATCACACCGACACGTGGGAAGTAAAGGAGCTGTGTTAGGACACGGTGTGGGGCTCGGCTGTGAAGACAGCCACCTGGGAAGGAGAGGAGTCCTGTTTGATCCCAGGGGCCCATTCCTACTGCACAAGTGGAAAGGAAAAGCAGGATGGCAAGTTCCCTGCCCTGGGAGACACCACCCTCACAGGGAGCTGGGGTGCCAGTGGGGAGGCAGAAGTGGATGCAAACAAAGTGAACTCTCATGGTTGGCTCAGGGCAGGAGCAGGGACAAGACAATCCTCTGCCAAGGGCTCTGCTTCTCCCAGCACCACCTCGCTGGGACTCAGATGGAAAGAATTTCACTTGCGGGCAGGAGGGCAAGTCAGATACAGTATCTCAGCACACTACCCCACCCTGCGCCAGGCTTGTCCTAGGTTTTGATATGCAGTGTGCAAATCTGGAATGCATTCATAAATAAATGTCAAATTCTCAGATGTATTGTCAGCCTTAAAGAAAACTTGCAGACTTAATTAAAAATCCCACTCTTTCTTTGACTCATGACCTGAGTCACATCTGCAGCCTTGCTGCATTTTGAACATGTAACACAAATGCAGAGAAATACAGTCGGTACTTAGCAACTTCAAGAAGCCAGTGAGACGATTGCTCCGGTGTTTGAGAAAGTCATCTGTGAGCTGTGGCAACAGAGGTTCAACACCTCTGAGGCATCCCTGTGCAATACACTTGGAAGTGATATGCAGAGAGCAGTTTATTTAAATCACAAGATGCCATGAATCAGCTCCCATGGTTCTTACCCAATCACTAGATTTTGCTCCATTTCAGATATTTTCCTGCATCAGACGACAGCATGGACCCACAGGGATCCAGATGCCCAGCAATAAAAATCTCCTCATAGTGGGCTGACACAGTAAACCCCTGGAAATAAATTCCACTTGTTCCAAGATTCCCATCCCTGACAGCTGGGTTTGGGCATCATATCTGACTCCAGGAAGGCAGCCTGGTGCTCGAGGTAGAAGGGAAGGCAGCTCTGAGCATTTACCTGCCGGGACACTTCAGGTTGGCCATTTCCCCTTTCCTTCTGGCCTCAGAGCAGCAGCTGAGGGCTGCGGGCAGGACCCTCACTGCTCCACACATCAGGTCAGGTCGAGCTCGCAGCCACTGCTGCCCCGCTGCTCGCCCTGACCCCCTGCAGCATCTGCCCCACTTGAGCAGGACGAGAGGCGCTCCGGGATCTCAGCCCTGCCATGACTGACGGAGGCAATGAAACCAGCAGAAGGCACCTTGCCCTCACGCACACGGGATGCACTTGCCGGCACTGTCCTGTGGGAAGACTTCATCAAAACCACACCAAAGCCCACCACTTCCATGGGCTCAGGACGGGATCTGTCTCAGAGTCTTCCCTTTCCCAGGACAAGCTCGTTCTGGACCCGTTTTGGGTTGTCACAAAGCCAGTGGTGAACACCCACTGATTTCAGCAGGGGATGTGTTATAGCAGAGCTCACTACAAACAAGGCTAACTCCCTTTGTCACCTCACAGCCCAGCCCTGTGGCTGGTCCGAGGGCTTTTTGTGCTGGCCACACCGTGCCCAGCCCGCAGCACCTGAGCGAGGCAGCGCTCTGCTGCCAGCCCTGGCAGGGAAGGCTTTGCCCAGGGAGCACACTCAGGCTCTTAACTTCCCTTTAGTCAGTTGATTGAGCAGACGTGACCTGCCAGGCTCTCTTTCAGGCCTATTTTCTACAATAAGAGAGTTCCACCGCGTTACTGTGTCTTCTTTGCTGCTAATAAGGTAACAGGCATTTATAGCCGATGTGAATGGGCGTTTATACCTGATGACACGCACACGGCAAACAAAGACAACGGGCCAGCTCCTGTCCTGTTGACATCTACCATTTTTCAACACTGGCAGCGTACATGTAAGAGCAAGCAGAACACAGCTTAGTAATTTTGCAAACCAGGCTGTCAACCTTCAGTGCCAGGAAATCTATCTACCTGTTGCAAAACTCAACCTGAACACCACAGCATTATAACATCTGTGCTGCCTGCTCATGACTGCGGTTAATAAAAGTCTCCTTTTTTAGTAAAGCAACGTGGTCTGTGTTTAGGGTTGTGTTAGGAGTTTAGCACTTTTCCTATAACTCTTTTTTTCTGAGAGATTAGAGCTCGGTCATAAAAATTTTATTCTGGAGAGATGTTTAGCAGAGACACTGCCCCCACTCAGATGCAAGCACCATTTGGTAGCAACCTAAAAATCCTCCATTCTGGCTCCCAAGTGGCAGGACCATGATTCCAGTGTAAGCATTCTTCCAGAGAGGTTATTTGTGGTCCCATCAGTTCCAGCACACCCCAGCCCTCACAGTGACCATGGTCTAGTTTAAGACTCACGAAGGGCAGGGGGAATTTTCCCATCACTTTCCAGGGCCCTACCAAAAGGTAGCTCTCTGCCCAATTTTAATTCCTTTGCCTCTTAGCTGTGATTTTATCTAAACCAAGCCTAAACTCAGCAGGCCAGCTCTGCCCAGTATAGTATGTAAGCATGAGCTTCAGTGCCAGGATTTATGAATGGACTTAAAAGCTTTGCTGATGTCAGAACTGAGCATCCTTTTTGGTCATTTTTCACACCCAAACACTGCTGGAGCTGCTTTCAGAGCCTGCTCTGCTATACCGCTTGCGAAGTGCTCAATCTCCAGCCCTTGTTGGCAGCTACAGCGATCCCTCTCCACTCTGGGAATGCATCATTAATTGTGGAATTTGGATGCTAGTGGATGTCCTTACAGTTTCCAGACTCTCGCTGTTGAGAAAGTAGATCCTATAAAAGGACTCCGTGGGACTATTTCCTGCTTAGAAAATAAAGAAAATAAAATCCAGGAATTTAGTCCACTTCGGACCTACTGAAGACTGAAGGTCAGGCTTTAACCTTAGCTACTCCGCTGCCAGTCCACAACACATGCCGGAAAGTTAATGGAATTACTTCAGACTTTCCCCAGCAGAGCTGAGATCAGACACAGGCCCACACTGTCTGGAGATGGAGATATTCTGAGCCAGACTCTTCACCCTCAGCCTTGGGAACATTTTCATAATGGAACATGATGTTTGCAAAAACTAGTCCAGAGGTGGCTTCTCCGTCTGTAAATATATCAAGAGCAAATTGGCAAGCCAACTGCTCCGTCCCTGGAATGCGCAGGAAATAGCTGTGACTATACTTACCCGTAAAAGCAATGGCTTAATTCCCACCGCCAGAATGGTTCCTAACATGTCGTGCTCACGGTAGCTCTGATAAAAGGCCATAACACACTGTATGCCCCTTAAATGGCTTTTAAATCTCAGCCCAAGCGTTTTATTATGAGCTCATTAAAAGATGACTGTTCCCTCAGACTGGCTGTGGTCACACAGCAGAACACGAGGTAATTGGAACCACTTCCCTGATCTTGTATAAATGTGTAATATAGCAGTCAACGTAAACCTTAGCTTCACTTGCCAATGTTGCCATACAAATCAGTACACTAGACTTGGCAGCAGTTCAGCCAAATTTGGCACAAGCTCTAAGCTAGTTCGTTTCACAGTTGTTAAGAAAAACAAATCTGTATCATGAACGTGCTTCAGAGCACTCACATTTCTGTTTTGTTTTCGCAAAAAATAAGGGCAAGATTCGGCTTTGATTCACTTGGGTGTAAACCCAGAGTAACTGCCCTGGTTTTGATTCTTCCATGTTTCCGTTGGTCTGTATGTGGCCATGAGGTGGCTCTAGATCTGACCTAAGGGTGATTCCACCAGGCAAGATACATTTTTTCACTATGTCATTATCATCACAAATTTATTCATACAAACTGATTCACACTGGAACCAATACAGGAACCAGTATCAGAGCTAGTACGGATACTGGAACACATACTGGCTTAGCAGGGCCACTGGTGTTGCTAAAATCCTGTGTCAGAATCTAATTTAGCAGTCTTGTTTCAAAAGTTCATTAACTGCAAACAACAAACCACTCTGGCATAAGACAAGACAAGCAAGCAAGAACTTATTTTGTTTTTAACTTTGAAATAATTTTCTAATTTATATCCACCAGGGACAGGTGTTTTTTGACTAGTGCTTTTTTTTTTTTTTTTTTTTTTTTTTTTTTCCCAAAAGTATTACTGTCTGTGAAAAGCTATCCTTGTCTTAAATTTGGATTCTTTTTTTGTAAGAGGAGAGAGAATGCAAATTCAGTACTTACATTCTGAAATTTCCAATAAAAGAAAATGAAGTTAAATATATCACAGTACAAGGTAATTTTGTTTGTAAAGGTTTTGAAGAGAAACTAAAAGTGGACAAAGCTGCGCTCAGGACTACAGCCTTTTTACAGTGAACAGTATCACCCTTCCATTAAAGTGGGCTAATTTCAATAGCCAATAAAGTAGGTTTAATTTAATTTAGAGACTGATTAATTCCAGCAGTGCTATTTGAATCCCATACATTTAACACAACGCTGATTTAAGGCCTAACAGCACCCTTGGCACAGCAGCCAGCCCCTAGCAGCACCGCGCACCACCAGGGAACCTGGCACAGAACGGTGACAGCCTCCCCGTAACATCCAGCAATATACATAACTCTTTAAAATACCTCATTTTGTGCTTTCTGCTAACCATGCTGACATTTAGGAAAGACTTCAAACGATCCATAACTACATGCAGCGCTGCACAGAGCCCTCAGCTAACCCTAACACCGCTTGCACTGCCCTGCACAGTAGCGCACAGACACAGCCTGCATTAAAAGCGAGGTAAAACACAGCAAAGCAGCAGAAACTTGGAGGAACACGGCGGCAGTCTGGGGGTGAGGACAC